AAGTGTGAATATCTTTGCAACCAGTTCTATGTTCCCATATAATCTGGCAAATACACTGCAAACAGTTTGTTTAATTGATTTTTTTAAACTCCCAGTCTACCATGTTTTTCCACACAAAATAACCATTTTGAGACCCTCACTTACTGCAGATCAATTGTATAGAAGGAGCGCTCTCTTCGGGGCATCATTAGCAACATTAAAATGATGAGTAGCTAAGGCTTCCATTTTATTTCGCGACACACTGAGAAGTGAGATGGTTCTAGAGTATACAGGCTGTTTATATGAAACCGCTGATAGCATGAGTCTAGCCATATGGTGGGAGAGCATGTGTCAGTGGCTGGGGCCAGCCAGCGCCCGCCAGCCATTAAAGTCTGGGGGATTAGTCCAGGCCCTCTCAGTCTAAACAGTTTGCTGAGAGGTGCTGATGGGAGAATCAATACAGTTTCACTTGTTCTCCTCCCTTCGTTGGAACACATTGCTTCAGTGCTCAGGACTGATCACTGCCTAAGCTCTAGTAGGAGACAGACTGAGAGAGGTTTACTGAGGACCGCCATCCCCCAGCCATTAAAGTCTGGGGGATTAGTCCAGGCCCTCTCAGTCTAAACAGTTTGCTGAGAGGTGCTGATGGGAGAATCAATACAGTTTCACTTGTTCTCCTCCCTTCGTTGGAACACATTGCTTCAGTGCTCAGGACTGATCACTGCCTAAGCTCTAGTAGGAGACAGACTGAGAGAGGTTTACTGAGGACCGCCATCCCCATCAGTGGGGCTCCAGCCATGGCAGCAGTTCCATTCAGACTGTAGATACGCTTCAGGTAGAACAGTAAGCACTATAGGGAACACAACAAGGCCAGGTAAAGTAATATAAGGATGCTGTGGCATCTAGGGGTCCCTGTCTGGATCATAATCCCAGCCAAGACTTCCTTGAGGGAGTTCGTCTGAAAAATCTGCTCTCCTGCACCATGCACTCAGGTGGCTCTCTCCTTTCAGCTGCTCTCTCCACACCTCTCAAGCTCTTGCAGATGAAGCAAGCTGGGAATGACCGAGATCATGGCAGCTCATTAACCCTTGCCCAGCCAGTGTGGTGTCTGTACCCCATCACACGCTCAGACAGTTGTTTCAAGCATTCTACAATGAAGATTAAAAGTGCACTTTCCAAATTCAAGGGCACTGTCTGTCACAGTCCCTTACAAGTGTTTTACTCACACTGAAGGTCTGAACTTCTCTATCCCCATGCACAGCACATGTTACCTTCCCTTCACAGATGGGGAAATTGAGGGTCAAAAAGGTAAACAGAAAATTGATGGAAGAGCTGAGACAGGAAATCAATTCCAGGCTCCTCAGTCATGCACTGTGAATATAACACCTAACCTAATCTAATTCAATTCTAGGAATTTCTATATGCACCGTCACATCATCTTCTCAAGATGGCACTGCCTGCCTCCCAGAATATTGGGTCACTGTTCAACAAGCGACTGGAAGTTTGTCCTGAAATAACTCCTAATAAACCCCACCACCCTCAGCCTATGTTCCTACAGCTAGTAGCAGGGTTGGTCCTCCAGCAAGGTTCTTAGTACACTTTAAAATTCTGGTGTTTGGGGATGCACTAAGAAAATGTCCTGTAAATACCATAATCTTATTATGAAGTCATCTTTTTTTCTATAAGGAGAAGGGGAAAATCAGATTCAGTCTAACAGAAAAAGGGATGGGCCAAAGCATTAGGAACTAGAGGGGGTGGGTTAAATTGCATCAATCTCAATCCCTGAAGTCACGAACCAAAAAGCCTTGTGTGGCTACCAGATTGTGGGATGGTGTATTTTGCGGGGAATCACACGATGGCCACATCTGAGAGTTCAACTTACTTTTTCAACTTACTCTTTCAAGCATTTGCGTATTTGTTTTTTAAAGGGGCTGAAATGAACTGTTGTCCCTCCTCCCTATGGATCTGACTCCCCATGTTGCGTTATTGACTGAAATTTAAAGTGCCCCAGTGGATTTCTTGCTTTTGTCCTAATTCAATATACATGGTCCATTGCTCCGTTAATCTAGCATGAATAACATACATTATAAATGTCTTTGTAATTCACAGGTTATCAGATCGTCTCTTGGGATATTTATCACAGTTCCTTTGTAAAACCTTGGACTAGGCTGCATATATTATCTATATTTTATCTCACTATGCGGTCTTCCAACAAGGCAGTTTCACCTGCTATCAGTTCTTGTCATCTGTGGGGAGGAGGGCAGAATGCACTCATGAAAGCTAAATGCTTATGTGTGCTGACAGCTTATCCAGGGTAATCTGAACAGAGCAGGAAGAAAAAGAAACACCTCTAATGTGACTGTTTTACAGCTGCACAACAGGCTAAATGATCAGCTGGATAAATGGAACTACACATGTTTACACCAGCTAAAGACTGGCCCAACAGTTGTAAGTACTGTACAGAGGCACAGAACTGTCACCATTTCAAAGGCTTCTTTAACAGTGATGGCTTGTAATAATGCTGAATGGTTCCTATCCTGAGCTGCAGAAAACCTTCAGAAAGACAGACAGTTTTACACAGCCATAGCCTTTTACATAGGTGTAAAAGAAGGAAAATCAGGCCCACATTCGGATTCAAGAAGGCCCATTTTATCTGAGTCCCACTCACATGGCAACGGCGCAGCCATATCGTGTTATAACTTCATGTGACTTAGTTCAGCCACTTGTTATTCTGCTCAGTGCTGGAATTAGTGGATGAAATGTTTGTAACCTGAGATATGCACAAGGCTCTTCATTTTTGGTATTTACCAACTTTCCTCATTTGTTTTTCAAATCCCTCCCCCCCCCCCCCCCCCGCCACTGCACTCCCAGGGCAGCGCCGACTGAACCAGGGATGCCATGTTTTCACCCAAATTTTGGCTTGTTTGGAACCTGGGAATTTTGTTTGCAGCAGAAGCAGAGTGAAGTCTCCAGCTCCCTGCATGCCAATCACTGCAGCTCTTGCTTCCTCTTCCTCCCCCACTACACAAAGGAAGCAGAGAGGGATGCACTGAAGGGCTGGGCTCAAGAGGAGAGCAGATGGCTGCACTCAGTAAGGACTGCCCCCCTCCCTCCAGGCAGAGCCGCCTCCTAAGCTGGTTCTTCACTACGGTCCTGCCACTAACTCAGCATGGTGGGGGAGTGAGACAGGCAAGGAGCTGGGTCTCAGCAGCTGAAACCACCTAATCACTGCAGCAGCAGGCCTGCAGGGAATGAGTACTTCCTCATGTGCTTCATCATGAGTACACCCCACTGCCCTCCATGGAGTGCCGGGCAGGCTCTCTCCACCTCTCCTCCTGCCCTTCAAGTTCACACATCACTGGAAAATCCAGACCCTAGTTTCTACTGAATAACACAATTTATCACCATAACTTTGTACCACCGGCATCCTTCGCAATACTCTTCATGACCGTCCTTAGTTATTCACACTGCTTTTACCTCTTGGCTTCATTACAGCAATGAGATACACCTGGGCACAAAACCATCAGCACACAGGAAACGCTAGCTAGTACAGAGAGCACAACACATCAGTCCATTGCTCTGTCTGCTGGCTTTCCATAGACTTTCAAAGAAGGTCAGGCTCTTGGTCTTTATCTGCAATGTGTTCTCTGGCTTGGGTCCAGGGTACTATAAGACTATCTTGAAAGCTCTAGGACGAAGACCACAGCTGACAACTTTGTTTCTCTGGCCCAATGGAACTCTCAACAATAAGAATAAAGCTTGTTTGTGCCAGAGATGGAACTTTCCCCGGGGTTGCTCCGAGACTGTGGAAGGAACAGGCTGTAGGCCCCAGGATCGAAGGACCATCACAAACCTCACCCCTTTCCGTTTCTAGAACAAGGCACATTTCTTTGACCTTGCTTTCTCTGACAGTGGACATGCTTCTCTCTCTGGGGAAAGAGGTGGGAGAACAAACTGCACGTGACAGATGTGCAGCCACGTTATTTAATGCACAGCTGGAAGGCGCTGTAGTACTATGATGCTGAGATCAGTATAAAACACTTATACCGAATAGAACAGAACTGAAAAAACAGAAATCGAAAATACCACTTGCGTGTGCAACATGAACACATTAAGATGAACCCCTGCATTTCCTGATTTGTTTTGAAATGTGAGTTTATTTATTATTTTAAATCTAAATAAATAAAATTTAAATAAAGATGCCTATCCAAGGCTTTTGGTGTTCACTATCGTGACACAATAAATACAATTACATTAAATCTCCGTAGCTTTAAAATGATCAGTTCCACAGGAACTCAAACCAGCCGTCCGGTCACCTATTCCCCTTTTGATGTGTGCATACTGCAGTTATACTCCAGGGCTCAGGCTGTGGAATTATAAAATTGCAGTGTAAGTGTTTCGGCTTGGCCTGGAACCTGCCTGTATTCTGGGACACCACAAAGGGCTCCAGCCTGAGCCCAAACTTGTACCCAAACTTACAGCCCCATAGCCTGAGCCCTGCAAGCCTGAATCAGCTGACACAGGTCAGCTGTAAGCATTTTCATTATCTAGGATGCCCACCCCTCAAGCCCTCTCAAAAAATCCGGATTCTTTTGCAGAGTGCCAGAAAGACAGCAAATTCAGACTCTCCCGCACTTGGGGGAACAAGTTCTCCAGTCTCAACACTCTCACAGAAAACATCTCACCAGTTGCCGCTTCTCTTTCATAAAAAGGGGGATCCGGCTAGCTAACCACAGCTGTGACAGTATGGTACAGGGAGAAGGGTAGTCTGCCAGGTAGGGTATCCCAGACCTTTTAGGGCTTAATTAGGTCACACGACCAACACCTTAACCTCCACTTAGAAGCCCAGGGGTAGCCAGTGCAGATCCCAGCTCACTGGTGTCATAATGTAGCATTTTTCATGCAATAAATATTTCAGCTAAACACAATGTAATTGAAAAACAACATTCAAAGCAGTGGGGAGAAGAGCTGCAGGAGAAGTAAAAAAAAGGTCAAAGACATGTTGGACAGATCTCTCCTACCTCCGGTCGTTTCTCCTTCTTCTGAATAATTTTTTGGTGTGTGCAATTTCAGCTTCATGTGGCAATGGATGATAACCCTGGTAAAAAGAGGGGGGGAAAACACAATTGTGAAATGTGAGAACTAGGAGGCAGTGATGTTTAAGTAGTCAGAACAGGGTACGGTGTTCGAGTCCCGTTCCATGGATGCGGCTAAACAACATATAGCTTTTTAAAGAGACAAGGAGTGAGATAGAAGAGCTTTGCGTCACTCGAAAGCTTATCTCTCTCACCAATAGAAACTGGTCCACTAAAAGATATTTCCTCTCCCAGCCTGTCTCTCTAATATCCTGGGACTGAAACAGCTACAACGACACATGTGCTGCTCCTTGTCAGTCCTATACAATATGAAAATTGGTAGAACAGATTAAATCTTATAAATGCCTCTCTCCCTCAACTTGCAGATCTGTAAAACCATGCAAAGGCACAATTATTTCAGGTTCTGAGGCGAGTTAATCTAAGCCATCTGAAACACTCAGATGAATATTGTTCACCAACACACATTTAAGAGACTGTTATTAATGGCACCCGATATCTTATTCACTGGGAATTCGGATGCTCATGCCACTGACATACCATTTTTACCACTCTGCTGCTATGCTTTCATGACAAGACATCCACTCTTTTTTATTTTAAACTCAGCAGTAAAAATTTACAACATTTCTCTGGAAACATGAGGAACTAAATTTAGCCGACAGAGCACTGGCATGGGGGTTCAGCATCAGGGTGACATCTTGTGCAACTTCACGAGTGACACTGTCCTCCTCCCGTCCCCACAACTTCATTTTCAGATTATGGTTCCTTGGAAGACAGCAATACTTCTCTCTCTGTGCCCTAATCCACTCCCCACATGCTTCTGTGATAGGTTAACTTCCACATGAACTGCAGATGCTGTATACTACAAGACAATGCAGACATCACCCTTGTAACTCCTTACAGCACCTACTATCTGGGATAACTAGTTAGGGAGACTGTGTCGCTTAGCTATCAGAACAAGCCACTCAGAATCAGCACACTCCTAGGCTCTATTTCCTGGCACCCCACTTATTCACTCTTTTAGCACAAGCAAGTCAATACCCAAGTTATATACTTAGTGCTCACAAAGCATTTTTCCATCCTCACAGTGCTTTACCGTCATTAATTCATCTAGACAACACCTCTCTCCCATAGGGACAAATTATCCCCATTAAACAGATGGGGAAACAACGAGGGCCGTCAATCAACCTGCGTTAATGCCTGCAATTAACACAGGACAGGATTAACGCATTCTTTTTTTAATGCGTTAATGCTGCACTGCCCCTTGGAAGTGCCAAGCGGAGCTGGGAATCAGCTGCAGTCCCCAGCTGACCCCCTGCTCCGCTGTTGCAAAGCCCCTTTGAAGTGCAGGAGCAGAACTTTGCAACACGGAGCCGGGGATCTGCTGGAGTACCCAGCTGATCCCAGGCTCCTAATGCACTGCCCCTTTAAGGTGACAAAACGGCACTTCACAAGGGCAGTACCCAGCTGATCCCCGGTTTCGTGCTGCAAAGTCACTTTGAAGTGCTGCTCCGACACTTCAAAGGGGTTTTTCAACAGTGGAGCCGGGGATCTGCTGGAGTCCCCAGCTGAACCCAGGCTCCTCATGGCTGCCCCTTGGAAACGCCGCTCCAGCTGATCTCAGGCTCCATGCAGTCCTGCCCCATTGAAACGCCACTACGGCGTTTCAAAGGGGAGGTGCATGCGATTAAATTTTTAATCACTTGACAGCCCTAGAAACAACCAATGCACAGGCTGATAAGTGATTTGCTCAGCCAAGTTAATGGAAGAGCTGGGATTATAACCCAGGGTCCTGACTCTCAATTCTGTCCCCTATCCAGTAGACTACGCTGTGCTTGCTTGTTGACTCAATTTGCCCATGGGAATATGGGGATGACTTTACTTACTTTCCTCCTAGGGGTATTGTGAGGCTTCATTAATGCTCGCAGAGAGCTTTGAGGTTCTTGGATGAAAGGCACTATCCCACAAAGTGTTATTTATTTTCTTTGATCTACAAAGCCATGATAACCACCAAAGGCAGTAAAAATCTTTTATTTATGCACTAAATACTTCCCAGGCTGGCAATAAAAACTCTGTAAAAATTACTCTATTTCCATAACAATCCATCTTTTCCGCTGAGTTACAGTCTCTGCCTCAAAACTAGTGAATTACCACGTATGAGAGGCTACCAGAAAATGACATGCATATGGGAACAGTATATCTCAGCATGCAACCACTTTTTGTTACACTGGCATGACACCACACACCTACCACACTTCACCAAGTGCCCTTTCTCCCAACACATCCTTAAAATTATTAGAGTTTACTTAATAGCAACAACACTTTGAGAAAGAGCCTCATAGGAGGCTAAAGAATTGCAATTTTTTAATGAACATTAATGAATTTAGCCTCACAACCTGCCTGTGAGCTAGGCCAGCATCTTAGCATCATGCATTTTATGATAATCAGGAGTGTTATGATAATCAGGTCTGAGCACTTGGGTAACACAGTCCGGAGAACTTCATCAAGTGGTACTAACTTTTGTTTGAGCTACAGTACTTGTTTAAGAAAGACATCCTGTCCTAATCTGAAGGCTTCACATGAGGAAGAATCTATCACATCTGTAGGTAAATTATTCCAAAATGTTTACACTTTGGCTGCGTCTAGACTGGCATGATTTTGCGGAAATACTTTTAACGGAAAAGTTTTTCCATTAAAAGTATTTCCACAAAAGAGCGTTTAGATCGGCACGGATGCTTTTGCACAAAAGCATCCATGCCCAGTATAGACACGCTTTTGCGCAAGAAAGCTCTGATGGCCATTTTAGCCATTGGGCTTTCTTGCACAAAAAAGTAAGGTCCTGTCTACAATGGCCCTCTTGCGCAAATATTCTTTTTTTGCGCAAAATCTTGCCAGTCTAGACGCACGCTTTGAGTTTGCCTAGCTTCAATTTCCAGCATTAAGATCATGTTATGTGTCTGTCTGCTAGATTAAAGAATCCGCTGCTACATATTCCTTATGTAGCTATAGCTCACATGAAAGTCATACAATCACAGACTCATAGAATCATGGAATTGGAAGAGTCCTCAGGAGGTCACTGAATCCAACCCCCTTCCCAAAGCAGGACCAACCCTACATTATTCCAGCCAGGGCTTTGTCAAGACAGGACTTAAAAACCTCTAGGGATGAAGATTCCACCACCTCCCTAGGTAACACATTCCAGTGCTTCACCACCCTCATAGTGAAATAGTTTTTCTTAATATCTAACCTAGATCTCCCACACTGTAACTTAAGACCATTGCTCCTTGTTCTGCCCTCCATCACTACTGAGAACAGCCTCTCTCCATCCTCTTTGGAACCTCCCTTCAGGAAGCTGAACGCTTCTGTCAAATCCCCCCTCACTCTTCTCTTCTGCAGATTAAGTAAGCCCAAATCCCTCTGTCACTCCTTGTAGGTCATGTGCTCCAGCCCCCCTAATCATTTTGATTGCCCTCTGCTGGACCCTCTCCAATGTGTCCACATCCTTTCTATAGTGGGGGGAGGGCCCAGAATTGGACGCAATACTCTAGATGTGGCCTCACCAGTTTCGAATAAAGGGGAATAATAACTTATCTAGATCTGCTGGCAATGTTCCTTCTAATGCACCCTAATATAATATTAGCCTTCTTGGCTAGAAGGGCACACTGTTGCCTCCTATCCAACTTCTCACCCACTGTAAGGACCCCCAGCTGACTTACTGCTTAGCCAGTTGGTTCCCAGCCTGTAACAGTGCTTGGGATTCTTCTGTGCCAAGTTCAAGATTCTGCACTTGTCCTTGTTGAACCTCATCAGATTTCTTTTGGCCCAATCCTCCAATTTGTCTAAGTCACTCTGGACCCTATCCCTATCCTCCAACATATCTTCCTCTCCCTCTAGGTTGGTGTCATCCACAAACTTGCTGAGGGTGCAATCCATCCCCTCGTCCAGGTTATTAATAAAGATGTTGAACAAAATCAACCCTAGAACTGATTCTTGGGGCACTCTGCTTAAAACCACTGACAGCCAGCCATCGGACCATTGATCACTACCCATTGAGCCCGACAATCTAGCCAGCTTTCCAGCCACCATACAGTGTATTTAAACAATCCATACTTCCTTAACTTGCTGGCAAGAATATTGTGGGAGACTGTATCAAAAGCTTTGCTAAAGTCAAGGTATATCACATCCACCGACTTCCCCATGTCCACAGAGCCAGTTCCCGCATCATAGAAGCTAATCAGGTTGGTCAGGCATGACTTGCTCTTGGTGATCCATATTGACTATTCCTGATCACTTTCCCCTCCTCCAAGTGCCTCAAAACTGATTCCTTGAGGAATTACAGGCATCTTGATACAGGCTAATGTGCCTGTAGAAATCTTTCTTGTTACCCTTCACATCCATTGCTAGTTGCAATTCCAATTGTGCTTTCGTCTTTCTGATTGCTCCCCTGTATTCTCGAGCATACTCTTCCCTAGTCATCTGACCAAGTTTCCACTTTTTATACACTTCCTTTTTGTGTTTAAGCTCGCCAAGGATTTCCCTGGTAAGCCTCCCTGGTCGTTTACCACATTTGCTTTTCTTAGTGTGCATCAAGATGATTTGTTCCTGTGCCTTCAATAAGGCTTCTTGAAAATACTGCCAGCTCTCCTGGACTCCTTTCCCCTTCATGTTAGTGTCCCAGGGGATCCTGAACATCAGTTCTGTAAGGGAGTCAAAGTCTGCTTTTCTGAAGTCCAGGATGTATATTTTGCTGCTCTCCTTCTTTCTTCCTTTGGTCAGGATCCTGAACTCGACCATCTCATGATCACTGCTGCTGCCCAGGTTACCACCCACATCTACTTCTCCTACTAGCTAAGTCATTTCTTAACCTCCTCTTTCATCATTTTCCGGACTGAGACACTGATGGAGAAACAGGTTACATGACTCAGCCCAGGTATAAGTAAATTTGAGGAAGATCTAGGGCAAGAAACCGTTTCCCCAATTTCCTATTATGTATTTAACCACACGA